TGCAATTACCCCATTCTAATCACTGAGACCCTCTTATGCCCTACCCCCTCAGACCCTGAACCCCTCAACCCCAAATCCTACTGCCTCAAGCAGACCCTTTCAAAGCCTGTTCCATACCTTCACCAAACCCTCACAACCTGCTTATGCAACCGGTACAAAAGCCTCGTACAGCCGTTACAGAGCCCTAAACTACTCTATGGCACCCTTGATAAACCTGAACCCTAAACCGCAAGCCTTACTTCTCCTAAACCCTACATACACCCAAAAATCCCCAACCTCCAAGCTTGTTTCACTCAGCCGACCTGAGACCACATGCCTCGCCTGGAGTGTCAGAGGGTGAGGAGCACCGAAACCCTTCAAGTACAAATCCTAAACGCTAAAGCCCCAAAGCCTTAAACCCTAAAGCCCAGCATATACCCTAAAATGCAAAAACCCTAAAATACGAGCACCCTGAAGCCATACAGCCCCGAAAAAACCTATTCTCTACCACCCTCGGTCCCAAGGCTCCACTTCCAAGAAGCCGAAAAGTCCCTCTTCCTAAACTCCTAAACCCTCAACCCCAAACCCTAGCACCCGGAGTCCCAAGGCTCCTCCTGACTCAGGGTGTTCGAATAGGGTCGGCTTTAAGGGTACTATGCGGTTCTGTACTTGGGCCCCCACCTAAAACGTACAGGTTGCGAAGAGGGCTCCTTGAAGGTCCTTTTTTAAGGGAGCGTTTCTGAAGGAACCCCTTTAAGAGGAACCCTCAAAATATCCCTGACCCCGCTTAAGACGGATAGAACCCTGTCTTGACCAGACTCAAACAAACCTTAAAGGTTCCTTTAAAAGGAACCCTCAAAGGAACCCCTTTAAGGAAGCCCCTTGAAGGAGTTTTTTTCGGGTTCCTTTAAGGGAAACCCTAAACCCTAAAACCTAATCCCTAAACCCAAAGCCCTAATCCCCAAACCCTAATCCCCAGACCCAAAGCCCTAAACCCTAGACCCAAAACCCTCAACCCTAATCCCTAAACTCGCTCAGCCATGCAGGAGGCAAAAATCCCTAAACCCAAAGCCCTAAACCCAAGGCTCCTCCTCTTCCAGCAGCTCCGCCTCAAAGCCAAGACCGGCTTGGCCCGGCTCCTCCGCAGACTTCGGCGGAACGTGAGCTTTAGGGTTTAGGGGTCTGCAGGGGTTCATAGGGGTTTAGGGGTGTAGGGGTTTAGGGGTGTAAGGTTTAGGGGTTTGGGTTGAGAGATTTTGAAGGGAGTCCTGGTAAAATCTGGCACAGGATTTGTGTAGGGCTGTATCGTAAGGGATTTATATAGCGTTTGTCAGTTTTGTACTCATAAGGATTTGTATAAGGTTGTAGAAAGTTTTTTTTTTCGTGGGAAGCGGGGGTTGTGTGCGTACGTGTGCGTGTGTGTGTGTGTGGATTTGTTCCTGATGTTCTCAGGGTGCTGGGGTGTTGCCAAGATTTTTTTCAACAGTTGATAAAGGTCTCCAGGGTTCGGCATATAAGACCAAGCTCGGTCTTAACCCTTGTGAAGCCTATGAACCTCGTACATAAAGGCCTTATCGATTCCCGTGATCATCCAGAGAGCCAAGCAGGCACCCTGTCCTTGAGTACATGTTTCGTTATAGTCAGAGTGAGGAACCTTACATTAAGCAGTTTTCCTAAACACCAAACCCCTCAACTCTGAACCCTAAACCCCCTAAACCCTAAACCCCTAAACCCTAAACCCTCTAAAACCCTAAAGCCCTAAACCCTAAACCCTAAACCCTCTAAAACCCTGAAACTTTAAACCCTAAACCCTAAACCCTAAAC